TGTGTGTGTGTGTGTGTGTGTGTGTGTGTGTGTGTGTGTGTGTGTGTGTGTGTGTGTGTGTGTGTGTGTGTGTGTGGTTGGTTGGTGGTTAATTTTCGCGCGCGCACGTGTTAACTTGTGCTTAGCATATGTGCTTAGGATATATTTGCACATATCTGCTGCGTGCCTATATGACAAAGAAAAGGGTAATTTACATTTTCATCCTACGATTACACTTATCTTTACAATAAAACTATAACACACGTACATGTATCCACGTAAATGTAGAATAGTAACATGTTTAGCCGTTAAAATCATCATTGTTTAATCGTATTTAAAACAATTGTTTGTATTCTTTAATATTTTTTTGCCGGAACACTTCAATCTTATAAGCGATAGATTAAAACAGATTCTGAACAGGTCTGTATTTTCACAGACGTCTTTGCGTTCATTATATGCCGCTACCTTTTCGGTGACCTGGGCATCGATGACTAAGCGAGCTCCGACGGGAAACCACTGAATAGGTTTCTGATCTCTGATATAACGCGTCGGCACCGAGAAGTGATAATCTCCTTCGACGAGCTGAAACACGGAATAATTACAGTTTCGGCCAAGAGATGGCAGCAGAGGTGATACGGGGTGCGGGGGCACAATAACGGTGTATGGTCCGTGGATGCTCTTTGCAGCGGAGAAATTTTCCGGGAGTAGCTGCTGCTAATGTTCATTAGGATGAACATACTGCTACTACTACTGTTGTTGTTGTTGTTGTTGTTTGTGGTGGTGGTGCTGCTGCGCTGGTGGTGGTGCTGCTTCTGCTGCTTTTGCTGCCGTAGCTACTGCTACTGCTGCTGCTGCTGCTGTTGCTAGTACTACTACTGCTGCTGCTGCTGCTGCTGCTGCTGCTAGTACTACTACTACTACTGCTGCTGCTGCTGCTACTGCTGCTAGTACTACTACTACTGATGCTGCTGCTGCTACTGCTTCAGATAGCAATCTTAATCACGTTTCCGATAACGACGGGAGTGCATCACGTCAGAGTGAAGCGTACTTAATACCCAGCCCACTTGTTTCGTTATTAAAACGCGATTAGTACACAGTCAAGCATCCGCATCGCACAGCAGCGAATTCCATCCGATAGGCGAGAAAATTTAAGAGACTCAGCGAACCAAACGCGCGCGTCTCTAAGATTGTGCGCGGGCAATTTATAAGAGGCATGGACGACTTTTACGATCAACCCGAGAACAGCACGTCGTTCCTACAGCCAGACGATGCGCGCATTTCGCGTCTCAATGCGCACATCTCGTGGCCCTTCGGCGTAGTTATTCAGTAGCAATGAAGTAATTCCGTACGGAATATAGCGTGGATAACATCGAATTTATATTAGAATGTACTCTTCTTAACTACGTGATGGTGGCGCGTGAAGCTACTTCGATTTCGTACATCAGGAGAAAGATAACATCGAATCTTTAGTAGTAGGTACTCAGGTATTGGTTGTTAAATTGACTACGTCACGAATTTTCTATGGTGAAATTTGTGAAATTTGTGTTGCTATTTTTTTACATTAAAAGTAAGAGAAATTTTTGTTGCTATTTTTTTACATTAAAAGTAAGAACTAACGGGACTAAACGTATCGTCAAATTCTTACCTGATAGAATTGTTTCTCAACTAGTTAAAAATTAAAAAAACCTGGACGATTTGATATTGTGTTCCTGACATTAATTGCTTGCTATGGGCTATGTATGAGTCACGAGTGTATGTTCACATCGAACAATATAATAAAATAAGATTTTTTTATATATTTACGGTGACGTAATCACTTTAAATACGTGATGGGTTCGATAACAACGAGTTATTATTAGTATGTATACTATTGCTAAATACGTAATGGTGGCGCGTGAAACTACTTCTTTTTCGTGATCAGGAGAAGATAACATCGAATCTTAGAATGTACTAATTAGAATGTACTAATTAGAATGCACTAGATACGCGATGGTGGCGCTTACGGATTCGCCGATGCTGATGAAGTCGGTGCGTCTTCCATCGGGAAGCAGTACGCCGAGCTTGATGTAGACTGATCCTTCCAGAGGCTTCCCGTAGACGTATCTGCAAGCGCAGGTGCTTATATTAGCAATAGCCGGCTAGTCGCGTTGTCGCTTTATAATGATCAATCTGCGGTTTTATTGACTGCAAGCTTGTAAACGTGGCATCTGTTTTTCTAGGTGCATATTTCTATGTTATTATTAGGCACCATATAATGTGTACTATAAATATGTTTGCACATATATATGTGCGTGTATATATATATATATATATATAGAGAGAGAGAGAGAGAGAGAGAACGCAGTTTTATGGGATTAATTACCATATATATATATACGTTATCAGCTGACACATATTATAGGAGTTATTCTTAGATGCCGACAATTTCATCATTTATGATACACGCGTACATGTGTAAGATGTACGAACGCCCAGCGTCCTGTATCCACACGGGCACGCTTGTAATATTATGATATTATGGGCGCCTACAGACGACTACGTACTCATAAACAGTTACATACACACGCAGTATATAGCATAGGGTATATAGCACAGAGTGTAGAGTATAGAGGCATAGAGTGTCGAGGATAGAGCATAGACTGTGAAGCATAGACTGTGAAGCATAGAGTGTAGAACATAGAGTGTATAGCATAGAGTGTAGAACATAGAGTGTGGAGCATAGAGTGTGAAGCATACAGTGTAGAATGTAGAGTGTGGAGCAAGAATTGTATAGCATAAAGTGTAGAATACAGAGTGTGAAGCATAGAGTGGGGATCATAGAAAATATCCCCTCCTCCCCTCCTCCCCTCCTCCCCTTTTTCTCCCTCCCCTCCTCCTCTTTTCCTCCGGACATAAACAACTGTCAGAGGACTTCCTTATGCAAGCGACTGACTGACGATGACGATACAATGTTTTCAAGCATAGATCGGAAATTTCCGACTCTGCTGCTGGCTACTACCGCCATTACGAGTCTCGCTCTCTCTCTCTCTCTCTCTCTCTCTCTCTCTCTCTCTCTCTC